CTATGCAGCGGAGGCCTTCCCTCTCCAAGTGAGAAAATCGGGGGTCAATTGTGGCTGGTAAAAATAGATGGTTGTTACAGACAGGAGTTGCTTGAGGAAGAGTAAGCCAACCAAAGTGACGTCTAACTTGTGCCCAGATCTTTAAAGTGCCAATTACAACGGGGTTAGATGTGAATTGTGAGGGGGAAAGGGGCAGAGTGCTACACGCGAGGGCTTGAAGTGACGTGGATCGACATGAGTTGGCCTCCACAAGACACCAGTCACTCTGGGGTGAAGTGAACCAGAGCATGATCTTGTGTGTGTTTGTGGCCCAGTAGTAACCCATAAGGTTAGGTAAGCCAAGCCCACCCAGGAACCTATCCCTCTGCAGTAATGGTCTACTAGCTCTTGCATGTTTACCAGCCCAAATAAATGAGGAAATAATTGTATCAATAGCAGTGAAAAAAGATTTAGGCAAAAAAATAGGTAGGCATTGGAACATGTATAGATATCTGGGCAGTACATTCATTTTTATTGTCTGAACTCTTCCTGCTAAAGAGAGTGCCAGATGGCCCCACCTCTGCAGGTCAGATTTGACTGTTGCCGTCAGGACAGTAAGATTTTGTTCCCGTAGCGCACTAAAAGACTGCGTGATTGCAATGCCCAGATATTTAAACCCTGAGTTGGATATTCTAAAAGGCAACGACAACGGAGGTAATTCTGTAGCCAATTGGTTGATAGGGAAACATTCACTCTTTTGGATGTTTAATTTGTATCCTGAAAATGAACCAAAAGTGGTCAAAAGTGAGAGAATGTGTGGAGTACTAGCTATAGGATCGCGCACATACAGAAGGAGGTCGTCAGCATATAACGAGACCCTGTGTTCGATATCCCCTCTCTGAATCCCCTTAATTCCTCTTTCTGCTTTTAGAGCAATCGACAATGGCTCGATAGCAATTGCAAATAGTAGTGGGGAGAGCGGACACCCCTGACGCGTCCCGTGAAAAAGAGGAAAGAATTTGGAGCGCTGGGTGTTCGTACATACAGAGGAGTGAGGAGAAGAGTACAGAAGTCTAACCCAGGAGACGAGGCCTGGACCAAAGCCCAGCTGTTGAAGGACAGAAAACAGATAGGCCCACTCAACCCTGTCGAAGGCCTTCTCAGCATCAAGAGATATGACAACCTCCGGTTCAGCAGGAGAAGGCGGGCTGTGGATGACGCTGAGAAGTCTTCGGACATTTGTGAAGGAGTGCCTCCCCCCTATGAATCCTGTCTGATCTTCCGAAATGATGGAGGGTATAATAGATTCCAACCGGCGAGCAAAAATCTTCACAAGTATTTTCACATCTACAGACAGGAGCGAGATTGGGCGATATGATGCACAGCTCAACGGGTCCTTACCCTTCTTAAAGATCAGAGAGATAGAGGCTTGCATAAGGGTAGGCGGCAGTGAGCCTTGGACGTACGACGAATTAAACATATCTAATAATAATGGGGAAAGTTGATTTGAGAATTTTTTGTAGAATTCTACCGGGTATCCGTCAGGTCCCGGTGATTTGCCACTATTCATGGACTGTATTGCCTCTTTAATCTCAGCAAGCTGCAGGTTGGCATCTAGTGTCTGTTGGTCGTTAGTCGAAATCTTGGGCATATCCAATTTATCCAAAAATGTATGTAGCAGATCTTCGTTATCAGGGGATTCAGACGTGTAGAGACGAGAGTAGTAGGTTTTAAAGATGTTATTAATCTCTCCCGGGTCAGAAGTGAGAGAGCCCAACCCGTCCCGAATCTGGGTGATTTGGTTCGAGGCCACCCTAGCCTTTAGTTGGTGGGCCAGGAGACGGCCAGCTTTATCGCCATGTTCATATATAGACCCTCGTGAGTGTAGAAGGAGTCGTTCAGCCTCTCTTGTTAGGAGAAGGTCAAGTTCTGTTTGGAGCCCCATCCGTTCTTTAGATAGATCAGGTGATTGAGTGGAAAATAGTTGGTTGTCTAGATTAATGATAGATTCTTCCAGTTCTCTTTGGCGTGCTCTACGAAGTTTATTAACATGAGACGTATGCGAGATGATCTTACCCCTAAGAAAAGCTTTAAGGGTTTCCCAGAGTAGGGACGCAGAGGTCTCTTCATTTTGGTTGGTCTCACAGAAGAATGCAATTGATTCCGAAATACACTCACAAAAGGCTGCATCAGAAAGTAAAAGAGGGTCAAGACGCCAGAATCTAAATTCCTTAGGCTTATGATCAAAGTGAAGGTCCAGGATCACAGTTGAATGATCTGATACAGTTATCGGTGAGTATTGAACGGAGACAATCGACGAAATAAATGTTTTATCAACAATAAAATAATCTATGCGAGAGTATGAACGATGTGCATGGGAAAAGAAAGAGTATTGCCTAGCCGAGGGGTGTAAAAATCTCCACGGGTCGACGTAGCCATAGTGGTCCATAAAAGCAGAGAGAGTCTGTGCCGTTTTAGAGGGTGCCACCGTTCTGGAACTAGATCTGTCTAGTGTTGGGTCTATAACACAATTCATATCTCCTCCCAGTATCAATAGATGGGAATTCAAATTGGGGATGGTGGAGAATAGCGATTTCACAAAATTATGATCATCCCAATTGGGAGCATACACAGAAACTAAGATGACCGGCTTCTGATAGAGAGTACCAGAAATGATGACATAACGTCCATTTGGATCTAAAATTGTATTAGTAGGGGTGAAATTTACTTTTTTCCGAATTAAAATGGCTGTGCCCCTTGTCTTTAGGTTAAATTGTGAATGAAACATTTGTCCAATCCACGGCCTATTCAGCTTTCGCTGATCAGATTTACAGAGATGTGTCTCTTGTATAAACATTATATCCGCCTTCAGGTTTTTAAGATGTGTCATAATCTTTGTGCGTTTCACCGAAGCATTCAACCCACCAGTGTTCAAAGAGAGTATCCTGACCGCCTGTCCACCACCAGTCCCTGTACCAGTTATATTAGCCATGACACTGCATACAGCATCGAAGGTGTAAGATCAGCCTTAGAACATCCACAACTAAAAATGGAGAGAACAGTGTACATAAAGATGACAAAACAGAATGTAAATTAAACAGCTGCCTCAAACAAATGGAAACCTGTAGCCCCATCAAGATAAATGCCCCACCCTCTCCCGCCCTCTCCCTCCCATCCTCTACTCCCTCCCACCTCCTCCCATGCCCTAGATCCCCTCCCTCCCCACCCCTGAGCTCCATCTGCCAATGAAATTGGCAATAACTTCCCTACATGAATCATCTCTCCTTCTTCAAGGTGTCTCAGTACCCACATCATGCAGATACAACCTCCTTAGTAAGTGTAACAATTGTGAACAGCAAATGTTAACAAGAACATTGCAAAAGTGCAAGAACATCCCGGGTATAGTGTAAATACAAAAATGAAAACAATTAAATTAAATTAAAATAGATGTAAACATGTCACATCGTCTGCTGACTTGGCCGAGCAACGTTAGTTATAAAAGAAATGACGTCCCAACAGAACGACGGCTGTAAAGTGCCCAGAAACAATTGTGAACAGCATGAGTTAACAAGGACATTCGAAAAAGTGCAAAAAACACCCCGGGTATATAGTGTAAATATACAAATGTAATCATACAAAAAATAAATGTAGACAACATATCGCATTGTGCGCTGTCATGGCTAGGTAACGTTAGATTATACAATCAATTGTGTCCCAACATAACGGTTGTAACGTACCCAGTCCACCATCAATGCAGCGCCAGCGCGGTTTAGCCTAGCCTAGCTTAGCTCAGCCACCACTAGCCTAGCACAACATCAGTGGTTAGTTAGCCGGCTCGCGTTCATAGCCAGCTGCAAAGGCTACAGCCTCCAGGGGCGAGGGGAACCTTTTCTTAGCCCCACTTCCAAGTGTGATCTGCAGGCGAGCAGGGAACAGAAGAGCCGGTCTGAGGCCTAGGTTGTACAGCTTTGACATGATGTCTCGGTATTTCGCCCGCTGTTCGAGAACCTCCTGTGTGAAGTCCTCGTAGATCTGCACTGGTGTCCCACGGTAGCGGAGATCCCCTCGTCTCTTGCGGGCCTCCCAGACAATCAGGTCCTTTACTTGGTAGCGATGCAGCCGCAATATCACAGGTCGCGGTCTCGTCCCTGGCTGCGGCCTAGCAGCCGGCGCTCTGTGTGCACGGTCCAGCTCGGGAGGGGATTGGAGAGTTTCATTGCCTAGCAGCTCCACCAAAAATTCAGAAAAGAAGGTTGTAGGCCGGGGTCCCTCAATAGACTCAGGAAGTCCAATGATTCTAATGTTATTTCTGCGGCTCCGACCTTCCAGATCTGCGGTCTTCGCAGCTAGCTTAGCATTGCTATCTGCTAATACCGCACACTTCTCCTCGAGTATACGGAGTCGCTGATCTTGCAGATTGGCATTGGTCTCAAGAGAGTCTATTTGTTCCCCATGTTCTGCTACTGTGGTCTGCGTTTGGTTCAGCTTCGCCTCCAGTACCGCAAAGGCAGCTTTGAAATCAGCTGAAATGCTAGCTCTGTGCTCTTCAAGCAGGCTAATTATGCTAGCCATGTCCGCGCCAGCAACTTCACTTGCACTTGAGACAGCAGTTTCGGTCTTTTTTGCCTGTTTCGTCTCCGTTTTCAACGCAGGTTTCGGCATCACATCGGCTTGTTCTGATTTATAGTCCAAATTATGTTCACACAATACGGGTTTAACTCAACTTCGGTGGTTTTAAATTAAATGTAGAAAGTAAAATCGTGGGAGAACGAGACAACGCAGCCCTCACATGTTCGTCCAACCGGAAGTCACAATAGGGGCTCTTAAAAAAATTCTATCATGTTCTATTCACATATACACATATACGTGATATTAACATTGTATTCCTTTTTATATATATATACATATCTTTTTTTTTAGAATAATATCCTACAGTGAGTGTTTTTCCTGTCTTGCAGTGTTCCTCCCGGTCTGACGCACACACTGATTATTATTGTGTTGTATATGTCCCTGTGGTGTAGGTGTGCTGCTGCTGGTTGGACAGATAGCTGATGGCATCTGCACGCCTCTCATTGGTTACGAGTCTGACCGAACCCCCGGCTGTGGAAACTACGGCAAAAGGAAGACATGGCATTTAGTTGGTGAGTCACACACATTACCAAAAACACTATACACCGTCTACTAGGGATGTAACGATACCAAAAACTCACGGTACGATAATATCGCGATAACAAGTCCACGGTACGGTATTTATCGCGATATTGAATAATAAAGGAAAAAAAATAAATCAATATTTTCTTTTTCAATAAACAATTTTTTTACTCGGAAAATGTTTCTTTATTAAATAATAAATCTGATTTGTACAGCATTTTAGTAGGATAGCAGTATTTTAAAGTGTCAAAAACAAAGTGACAGTAACAGACTGGAACAAGAAAACCAGTGTGTTTGTACCTATAGTACTACCAAACAAAGTAGGCATTTTCTTTGTGCCACTGCATCTCACAAATAAACAAGGACATTTAATAATCAGACCCTGCAATAAAATAAATCAAGTTTCACTTCAGTTTTTCAAGTAACTCAATTCAAACTCACTAGTCACTCACTCAGCATCATCAGACAGGTTTTTAGGAATATGAGAATGTCCACATTTCCAGGTATTTATAAGCTGGGATGTTTGGGCATTTACAATATCCCCTGCTCTGGAAAAAACTCTCTCGCTTGGTACTGATGTTGCTGGGACAGCAGTGGTCGCGTTAACCGAATATTTTATTTAACAATGACGGAAAAATCTGAAAGCAGTCTGTCATTTTGACAGATTAGAACAAACTCGGAATAGCACCAACGTTTCCCCGCAGCGAGGCTCTGGTGTTATGCCGTGTTATGCATGCCCTCCAAAAGGAAATGATATCGTTTCCAAACCGTACTTTGCCGTACAGATCAACACATGTCTGGGAGGTTTTGCTTTATGCTGTGCGCGCTCCCTTTGTTTGTTTGTAGCCTTTATTTAACACTAGAACCGCCAACGGTTACATTTTACCCGCAGCTGTTTTTAGATTGTATGTAACTTTTTTTCAATAACATATTAAAGTCTCCCAGTCCGTGACTTTTCCTGAAAGTGCGTTATGTAGCACCCTCAGTTGTTAACAATTGTCAATATGAAGTCAGATTGAAAAAATCGCCAAAAAAAATGCCATTATACCTATATCCGCCAGCGGGTAATATTTACCTCATAGAAAATGCAGCGTAAACATAACGTGTTGCTATTAGTGCTGGGGGGAAACGATTATTTTGAAAACGATTAATCGGGCGATTGTGTTTGAAGTGCGATTGCGAACTGCTTGTTGCTTTGGGTGACCCACGTGTGTGTAGCGACGCGTCGACGCGGAAATATGTCGTCGACGATATTTTGAAGTCGTCGACGCGTCGCTACAGCACTAGTTGCTATAGCAACGCCTTTTATCTACTGCGGTTCCTTAAAGATAGATAGATAGATAGATATATTGATAGATGAATAGAGAGAGAAATAGACAGATAGATAGTTATAGATAGTGTAACATCTTGGAGAATACAAGATCTTGGATGACTGAGCTCACGTTGAGGACGTAATGCATGTGTGCAGGTTACGTGCCAGTTGAATAAAGATGGACACTCGGAATGAGAGAAGTAGTCCGTGTCGTCTGTTTATGTAAACAATTATATGTCCATAGAACAGAACATTACAGATGGATCGATAGATAGTTATAGATAGATAGAGAGAGAGAGATTTGTACCTAAACAAAACACAAGTCTAACACCAAGCGTTTAAATCAGCACTCTTAGCGATATGTTATACTTCATGCTATCTGCACAAACGATATCAAATGAAGAGCTGAGAGTCCACAGATTATATTGGTATAAATGTCATCCCTGTGCGATCAAATCTCCCTGTTTTGTATGATAAATAAAAGAACATTGTACCTTGAAAATCAATAGCGGGTACATTTTACCCGTTGGCGGTTTTAGGTATACAGCGACCTCTGGCGGTTCTAGTGTTAACCAGGTGAAAGCCCCTTGAGATCAAAAGATCTCTTTTTCAAGGGTGACCTGCAGGACATTAGTTACACATGTAACATAAAAACAACAGAACAACAATAAGGATGAACATACAACATAATGTACAGGGTACAGTTTACAAACTCTATTTACAGAGACAGGTACCATGAGTATCAAACAGCATGTCACCCAGCTGAGTTTTAAAATGATGCAGGGGAACCAAAGTGCTCAGTTTTAAACATGTTTGCAGACTGTTCCAATTTAGTGGAGCTGCACAACTAAAAGCTTTCTTCCCTAAGACAGTCCTAGCACTTGGCACATTTAATAAAACAACATCATGAGATCTCAGGCAATATGTACTTTCAATTCGTCGAGAGATCAGAGAGCAGATATAAAAAGGTAGTTTACCCAACATGGCTTTGTAAATGAACATGTACCAATGACTGAGCCTCCGTACAGTTAGTGAAGGCAGACCTGCCTTGGCATACAGGGTACAGTGATGAGTAAGTGCTTTACAGTTAGTAACAAATCTCAGGGCACTGTGATAGGCGGCATCTAACTTTTCCAGGCAATGGGCAGGTGCATTCATATAGATCAAATCACCATAGTCCAGCACAGGTAAAAAGGTCACAGTGACTAGCCTTTTCCTGGCTTCAAAAGAGAAACAGGACTTGTTTCTGAAAAAGAAACCTAGTCTAACCCTCAGCTTTTTAAGCAGGTTATTGACATGACGTTTAAAAGTAAGACAATCATCAAGCCAGATACCTAGGTATTTATACCTCCCGCGAGGTGCATGCACACACGGCATAACACCGCCCCCCCCCCCCCCGTTGACGAGCGTGTTCTCTCGTGAACTGTTCAGACCCGACGGGTAATAAGGGATTATGACGGACATTTTACGATCCTGTCTGTCAAAAGACGGACAGCGAAAAAGTCTAACGCCACCTCAGTGGGACGGAGAGATATGCTTTGGCCAACTGAACATCGGGGGAGAAGGGCCTTAGTCAGAGAGGTGACCAACAACCCGATGGTCACTCTGACAGAGCTCCAGTGTTCCTCTGTGGAGATGGGAGAACCTTCTAGAAGGACAACCATCTCTGCAGCACTCCACCAATCAGGCCTTTATGGTAGAGTGGCCAGAAGGAAGCCACTCCTCAGTAAAAGGCACATGAAAGCCCCCATGGAGCACCTAGAGGACTCTCAGACCATGAGAAACCAAATTGTCTGGTCTGATGAAACCAAATTTGGCCTGAATGCCAAGCATCATGTCTGGAGGAACTCAGGCACCGCTCATCACCTGGCCAACATCCCTACAGTGAAGCATGGTGGTGGCAGCTTCATGCTGTGGGAGGTTTTCAGCGGCAGGAACTGGGAGACCAGTCAGGATCAAGGGAAAAATGAATGCAGCAATGTACAGGGAGATCCTTGATGAAAACCTGCTCCAGAGCGCTCTGGACCTCAGACTGGGGCAAAGGTTAACCTTTCAACAGGACAACGACCCTAAGCACACCGCCACGCTAACAAAGGAGTGGTTTCAGGACAGGTCTGTGAATGTCCTTGAGTGGCCCAGACTTGACCCCGATTGAACATCTCTGGACAGATCTGAAAATGGCTGTGCACCGACGCTCCCCATCCAACCTGATGGAGCTTGAGACGATCTGCAAAGAAGAATGGGAAGAACTGCCCAAAGTTTTGTGTGCCAAGCTTGTAGCATCATACTCAAGAAGACTTGAGGCAGTAATTGCTGCCAAAGGTGCTTCAACAACTTATTGAGTAAAGGGTGTGAATACTTATGTACATTACATTACATTTAGCTGACGCTTTTATCCAAAGCGACTTACAATAAGTGCATTCGACCAAGAAGATACCAACTTGAAGAAAACAGAATCATGAGGCGGCAGTGGCTCAGTCTGTAGGGAATTAGTCTTGGAACCGAAGGGTCGCTGGTTCACATCCCGATCAGACCACAAAACATAATATGGAGTGAGCTGGTAGCTGGAGAGCTGCCAGTTCACCTCCAAGGCCACTGCCGAGGTGCCCTTGAGCAAGGCACCTAACCTCAAAAACTACACCCTTGGCACCGGGTACCTGGCAGCCTCTCTGCCACCTCTCCTATCTGCATGTGGTTGTGTGTGTGTGCATGTATATCCTCTGTGTTTCTGCATGTGTATCCTCCCCTGTGTGTGTGTAATGTGTGTACACATAACAGAGTGGGGAAAGACATTTCTTCCTGGTAACCTTAGCTAGGAAAACAAGGGTTTAAAGGTCCTGGGAGTTTGGTTGGGGTCTGAGGACATGGTGGCACAGAACTGGGAGGGATTGCTGGGAAAGGTGCCCCAGCTACCCCAGCTGTCCTACAGGGGAAGAGTTCTTGTAGCCAACAATCTGGTTGCCTCGTCTCTGTGGCACAGACTCCAGGTGTTAACCCCACCGCCGGGCCTCATGAAACAACTGCAGCGGCTCCTCGTGGATTTCTTCTGGTCGGGTCATCACTGGGTACCAGCATCGGCCCTGTACCTGCCTGTGGCGGAGGGAGGCCAGGGCCTTGTGGACATTACTGCAAGGACTGCTGCTTTAAGACTGCAGGCAGCTCAGTGGCTGCTGTATGGTGCCTCTCCCTGCTGGCTGGCTATGGCCCGGCTGTTGCTCTGGAGGGCGGGGGGCTTTGGTTTTGATAAACACCTGTTTCTGCTGAAGGCCCCTGCGTACAAGATAACTGGACTTGCACCTTTATACTGCTCAGTCATCAATGCCTGGAAGATTCTGAGTTTTACCAGACCACCCGACCCCCAGCCTGGGATGTGGCTGTTTGAGGAGCCACTGTTTGACACTGGTTTTCTTTCTGGAACCTTTTTCTCTTCAGCCACCTGTAACAGGACTGGGCAGATAAAGAGGAAAGTGGTAGTGCAGCAATCACGACAGAGGCCGTGTTCAAATCCAAAAAAGGTGCTATCAAACTCTTTTTTATTTGCCATCCAGATCAGTGGGGCATGATTGAAGTGAAGAGTGAAGTGACGTCCCAAGAGGTAATACCGGAGGTGCTCAAGTGCCCATTTTATTGCTAGGCCTTCTTTCTCCACAGTAGCATACCCTTGTTCCCTTGTGTTCA